AGTTTTATAATCATCAGGAAGAACGTGGTGCAGGATTTCTTATAACTAACTCAGCACAACCTTCCCTGGCATGCAATTTACGAGTAAGGAAGAACAGTAACAACAGTCGCCCTTCCCCAATGCGTTCGTCAGGCGCTGCCCGAAAGAAAAAATTGAGGCACCTAACGCCATGCAACTTACCGGACTTCGCAGCAAACACCCGGGGCTCACAAACGAAGCCGAATATGAACGCCCTTCAAACGGATTCTGATCCAGCGTCGATTATGGGGAAAACCACACGACAGCTGTAATCTCCTTGAATAGTTTATGTGGAATGGCCATTCCAAGGCGTTTACGAGCCAATGCCTATGCGTTTGTTCCGGGATGATCCAAAGAGAAATATCACTAAGGATATGTCGTATGTTAATGGCATCTCAACAGCGACCGAGTGCATTGCAGAAGGACTATGAGTCGGAATATCACATCGCTCCAAGGCCACCATTCGCAGAAGGCTCATGACAATCAATGATCGGTTGAGTGCCAAAGAGCATTTCGGGGTAATATCACGCATCCCCAGCTTAACAGTTTTCTTGACCGCAGAGGTCAGACTGAACGCACGTTCTGGTCGCGCATACATGAACATAAACACTGGCTGCGCGAAAGCGGGGCGAAGTAGTACAATTGGCTGCCCACGCCTTCGAAGCGGGTCGTAAGGGCTCAGCCATGCAAATAAACCGCTTAGGGCATTACACGTGTCGGCAACCACGAAACGCCCGTTGCCTATGCGAGAAAATATCATAGCGGCCTATGCGTAACTGCTAAAATCTCAGGCCAACACCACCACCACCACCTCCAAAGACTGTCTGTCAACCAACAGAATTCCAACCACTAACGAGCCGCTCGTTCCCTGCTCTTCCGCCTTAACGGTCTCTATCACCCTAATGTGGGGTGCAACAGATGGAATGCTCCATGTAGCAAATGGAAAAACTCGATCGACTTCTCGCCTTTAAAACACCTTCACTTTCCGGTTTGTCTAATCTTCTCGACTTGCGGTGGGAATTCAACCATCGGCATAGATGGTCATGTACCCACAATCCGGTCCCTATTTATGTAATTGTTCATCTATTGGAAAAAATAATTACGCCATTTTTGTTATGATGAGAGGTTATTTCTAGACGCTGCACAATTATTTCGTTTAGTTTACTGGAAGAGTGCATGGTCTGCGTGGATTAAAATTTTGTGTCGAGGGAGAACTCCGCATCAAATTTATGTGGAATTCGCTTTGCAATACTTTTTGAAATAACAAATGAACTTCGGGAATATTCTATTTAGACGATTTCCAATGTGTCAGCAAGCATATTCATTCGAGTAAAGACTGACTGTCTCCGAGGGTTAACAGAAAATATGCAATTGTCATTACATCAGTTCGTGTAAGATGACCCTCTTTTGTAGTTCGAAATTTACGTAACCTCCTAGATGCGATTACCTAGAAGTAAAACTTCGTCCTTTTTAGTAACTCGAATTTCAGTAGTTTACTCTAAGGAAATAGCACTAAAAATGTTCTTATTATCGTCTCCAGATATTGATTTAAACACGAAATTATGATAGAACTGGAAGTCTATTTCCTGCCTGCCATGAGAGAGAATTCCGTGCAAAAAAGGAAGTGTTACTAAGTAGTTAAGGGCAAGAAAGATCCTCTTGTTTTCTGTCGTTTAAGGACCACTTCTGCTGTCTTAACCACAAGAGATACATATATGTTTTCAGCATCCTGAGAACGCAAATTTAATTTATTTAATTAAGTAGTTATTATTCGGGAAAAATTCGAAGATTTCTGCTTAAAAAATGCACGTTACTCAAAATGCTGAATAAAGTACACAGAGTGCAGATGTTAACCAACGTCCAGAGGCACCAAAACATGAGGTATTCTACGAAATAAACTAAGAGCATCTGCGAAAAAAATAAATCGGCAAATGGGATGCAAAAATGCGTAAAGTTAGATTAGGGCGTTTGTTTAAATAACTTTCGATAAATTGAGGCTGGTAATGTGGCTTGCATTCAAAATAGACAATTTTGATGAAACAGCAAAGAGTGAGTTAACACCATGGACCTCACCCACAAAAAGTCTGACCTTCGATACTTTCACTCGTTCGGAGGGTGTTTTGCCCACTGTTTGGAAAATAATTTTTTTAAATTGTCGATACAATAAACGGAACAAATTTTGTAAACAGAGTCCTTGAGATAATAGAGTTCTGAAAACGACAAGACGCGCTAAACAAGGAAGGAGAGAAAGACGTTTTACGCAGTAAACATGCTTTCTGCTTTTTAATAAGCTGCTTCAGTTAAGACTATTTCCAGCCGAAGCTTGACCTAAGTAAGCGAAAATTTTAAACTTTCTGGTAAATCACAGATTTCATTAGGTATTTGGGATAGTTTTCACAACGATCGTATGTAGCATAATTTTGTCTGATAGAAAGGCAATCTTACAAGAAATTTTTGGATTATTCCCAAAAAACCACAGTTACGCCTTATAAAGTTGTGGTCAGATGAATGGTTACTCTAAATGACAAAAACGGTGAAAAAAGAGTGAAGCGGTTTGATTACTTTTGAATGGAAAAAATTTATTGGATGGATATCTAGGGCTGATATAATATAGGGCTACGAAATATGTTATATGAAAATTAGTCGAGTATTCATTATTTACTTTAATTCTAGAATGAAGAAAACACACTTTACACTTTAGACATGACGAATGGAATGTTGCCTCTTTTTAAAAGTCTGTCATTGCGAGAATTTATGCAAGGCCCACATTGTTATATGCATATATTTCCCCATAATACGGGCATCTTAATTCATGTTTATTGCCATAAACAGCAAGAACGCAAATTACTCTTTATTGAAAAATTCCGCGTTGTAAAAACCCTCTTCAGATACAACGGCAGGCATGTGAGTTAAGCTGTCAAACGAAAAAGTGCTGGCTTTCTCAGGTTAAATAAGAATTACTATATTTATGAGGGTCAATTAACTATGAGGAAGGAGACACGATCCAAGGAACAGAAGCATTATTCGCCTGACGTTTCGGATTTCTGCCCGAACCCATCATCAGAGACAACAGTTATCTACTATTGTCTCTGACGATGAGTTTGCGCAGGAATTCGAAACGTCAGGAAAATAAAGCTCTTGTCCCAGCGATCGTTACTCCTTCTTTACGACTGCCTCCTGCGACTCGTCTCTTCGCTTCTATTGGCAGTCAATGAACTCTTTTTCCTCAGGTGTAAAATTTGATTAAGACTTAGGCTGTCGAAAAATTTGTACATAAGTATTTTAGACAGTCATTCTCTGGTATGTCTCAGTTTCCGCAGAAATAATGACTGCACGGGGAAACTTACACTATCTAATCGAGTGAGTTAAGTCTTATAAGCATTCCTTCACAGTCGAAAAGGTAAGGAAACTTTTGGCCAAAACTCTGAGAGACTTTTCAACTGCTGTGTTGGTGTCTGCAATCAGAATTAATTTATGTGATCGTTCACTTCTTAAAGTAAGAGTCAGGAAGCCTAGACCATAATTATGCAAAACGTTTCTACATAAGCTGGGTTCATAATACGTGAGATTTTGCGATTTACAAAAATTTAAATATGGCCAATCCTGGGAACAGTTAATTTCTACTTAGATGGAACATTGATCGTAACTCCCATTAATTCGTTTGGATGTTGGTCAGGCAAATCAGGTGTCTACTTGAGAAACATCAGCATATCACAACGTTATTTGGCGTCGTTTAGGTTAAGTCTTTCAAGAACCATTTTGTTTCCTTGTCAGTCTTGCTCCTGTCATCCGCATTTATAGTTACTGTTTTTATTCCAACATAAATATTTGGAAAGTATTCTGGCATTGTGGGACAACTACCGCTTTTCTTTATTGGTCTGGGACTTCCGGTAAAATGTACAATTATTTGCCTTCAGTGGACTTGTTGATTTGCACATGTATGACATATGACTCTCCGCTATTTGGATTTTGACCGTAGTCTAGACTTTCTAAAGTGTTGTCTGTGTATAAAATCATATTTTAAGGTGAACACATCTACTTTCAATGCTTTCATATGCATTTTAAGCCCCTCAACGTGCTCCCTCGTAGTTGAACGATTAATCAGAAGCGAACCTTTTTGTATAAAATTTTGATATTAGGAATTGATAGTTATAGACTTCCTGTTGGATATGCTTGTTCGGTGCCCTACTCCCGGGGGTAGCAAATGCTTGCGACTTTGGAAAAAATTAAAACAGAGCGGAAATGCGAGAAGAGGTATTAAATTATGCATTCATATTTTAAAACAATATAATCTTTCGCAAATTCTTTTCATCAGTAATATGCCATTGGGAAGAAATATTCAGCAACATTGGCGGTCAAGTACGATGCACGAAAATAAATCATCCACTGAAGAAACTATATGAAAACAACGCAGGCCAAAAACCAGCAAAAACATTGGGTTGCGAAAAGAAAGGACGGCGGGCAATCCCAGATGCGGCTAGAGTTTATGTTGCAATCTTATTGTTTGTGGTAGACTGATCTCATCATCCATATTACAACAGTTGCCTGATAAAGAAGAAGACTTCCATTTAATTAGTAACCCTCGACAGCTATTTCTGATTAGTCGGCTATAAGAAGGAGCTGTTAGTCCCTAATGAGCGCTCCTGGATGTTGAAATCATGTGACTAGCAAAACTGTGGAAGGTTAAGTAGTTCATTTGTTCCAAAACAGCAAATATATGAGAAACTTTGATAGTGTTTATGTTGTGAATGCGAAGAACACAACTGTCAACCCCAGACTATCGATATCAGGATAAAACAGGAGTTATTATAGAATAAAAAATCAAATGTCAAACGACCTGACAGTCCATCATCTATAAAGATAATTGTGAACTCATTTGTGAGTAAAATCTAAGGGTTTTTCCAGACGTTTGTGAAAGGGAGTGGCGCATAAAAAGAGTCCCTTTCTAAATTTATTTGTCAGGAAGACCGTTCCTTAGAGTAATGCACAATGCGCTTCACAAGTTTGGAACAGTGGAGTCCAGTATGTCTACCAATTGCCCTAGCACTCCTGGCCCTGAGCCCAGTGGGGGCAAGTCGACTCTAAACGGTTAGTCGGCTGCCTGCGGACAAATGCTAAATTTTCAGCCAGTTGAACGTATAGTACGCCTAGGGAGTAGCACATCAACGGGCCGCAGCGGGTCCACTGGATCTTCACGTATAAGTAAATTCTGAAATTATGTCCGCAATTCCCGATTTTGTTTAATGCATTTAAAGTGCTGCTATCTAAATAGATGTAGTCAGCTTGAAGCCCAATTCTTATTTGACTACCCAAGGCGAAAATTGTCGGCTTTGTGTGAAAATTCAAATATTTGCATTCGAACCCATGCGAGGACTTCTCCGGGAATCATCTCATCCAGCTGCATAAGGCGGCAACAGAAAATAGTTGGTACATGCCTAAACGTTGCCTAGTCTCTATGTGGAAAATTCAGGAGAAAAATATTTACATAACTGTACGACACCGATGATGTGACACTCGGAAACGTGTGGATTTCAGTTGAAGTCGATAGTACATAGCCTGAAAGTCACCTGTGAAAGTTGGAAAGGATTTAAACGTTTAGCGTTCGGGGGATTTATCATGAGTTTCTTCGTTAAGTGCAGACAACGATGTGGAAAATGTTTGCTGTTCTCAATTGTACACCAACACTGTGAACGCAAATTTGCGAAGTTTCTTTTTTTTAAAGTGACCACTTTGAAACACTAAAGCCGAACTCATTCATTGTGATGGAGTTTTCTAGCTTTCTGACACAGGTCATTTTGATTTTGTGACGAAAGAGCAGTTCATTTGTGACTGAAGGAAGGGAATCCTCCGCGTTTTAGCAGCAATCGACATCAAATTTCGAACCAAACATGAGTGGATCGTCGATGTAGGTGAAGTATTTTGAATCGCCTTGCAGGCTTGTCATAACAGGTCAGCCACATAACACACATTCTCCCGAAATACCCTTATAATCCATGAAGAGCTTTTGCATAGTGTCAGAGTTGCGAAAATTCTCATGGCAAAAAATTAAGATAACCAGTTGGCGGGTGTACGTTTGCTTTCGATAGGAATGGGATAGAAGTAAAACCATGCCAGTGATTAGAGAAATCAGTTAGTGTTCGTCGTAAAACACAGGTGTTATTCTCACACCCCGCCTATATTTTAGGACAAACTCTAATTGATTTCTTCAGTCACTGGCATGTTTTTGTTTCTACCCCGTTCCCATAAGGCGTACTGGCCTGAGAATAATTTAGCGAAAACAAACGTATAGTAGCCAGTTATTCTTCTGAATTTTTTTTGAAATGTTGACGTTCATCTGGGAAACGCTTTATCTAGCCTAAACCATCACACTGAAAATTTAAATTCTAGCAGCTTGCCTATGGGTAAAGCTAATCCAGCAAAATTTTCAGCACAAGGTCGGAGTGTGTGCGTTCGCAGATATCACAAAAAACTGTTGTCGCAAAATACGGACCAATTCAGCGTCATCTTAATGTTCTACATATCGTTGACCTTAGGAACACAATTCATCTAAGCCATTTATGTTTGAGGGAGTGGGTCATCGTGCCAGGCCTAATCTCCCGCGCTTAGCGCCAACTTTCCCAAAGGCCTCTGTTTGAAACTTCGAGAGTAGAAATCAGAAGCGGGGCTTATAAAAGAATTAAAAATGTTGAAATCTCGGGGAAACGTTTTCTTCAAATGAACAAAAGCACAGTACAAGTATCAATTTTTCATTTCTACCAAGTCCATTTTGAGGATGAGAATGCACAACCTTCAAACTTGGAAGGCATTCCCAGGAGTCTGCACGTATCCCCTTGTTTAACTAGCTACCTAGTTAGTTATTATCTATGCATGATCAAGTAAGTATGTTGTCTTGTAAAAGTCTGAGACAGAAGCCACAACTGAGGAACTGAGAAAACAGATGTTTACTTAGGGGTGTTTGCAGTGCACATAAAATTATGTCATGTTTTTGTATTATCCCTGTCTTAACTGAGATATTGCTATTGTGTGTCAATATTGTGGATTATTTGCGAGAATTCGTATCTTTGTTGCGCATCGAATTTTAACCCCTAATTACTGTATTGGTGTGTGCTACTAGATTTCAGAATTGGTTAGGAATATAGGCACTTGTACACTATAAAGGAGCCACTAGTGAGGTCAACACTTAGTGTTAGTGTTTTGCTTTCAATATTTGTAATTAGTACATACAGGTTGACATCTTGATCACAGAATTTGTTCAGAACAGGTCAGAGAATAAATTTATAATATTTTAAGTTGCAAGCTACTTTATACACGTCCATAAAACGTAAATTTCAGATGAATCTACAGGGAAAGATTCCGTGAGACGTTATCGAACGCAACCAGAGGTCTGTTCGCAACACATAAGTGTATTTTGACCGCAATTTGACTTTTAGAATAACGAAAATGAATCAATCGCAAGTGCGCATATGTAAGGCCCAAGTTTGTGTTACTTATGATATGTAATTTGAGCAAAGTGACAGTACATTTGCCTTTTGTAGAAAGGGCCACTGAAAAACCATATCTGGCTGCCTATATGCGTTGTTTGGCAACGCTTCTGAATAGCAATGGCTCATATTTACCGAGAAATTTTATGTATCAACCAAAGGATCGCTTTCCTCAAAAGTGTCTTTTCCTTAAAATATCTTCATCGTTATAGTTGACCTAACTGTTAATTGTATACAAAGGATACGTATAATTGAACTTGATTGGATCCCATTTAGGAAAGGTAGAAATAAGCGAGATAATTGTCGTGGTGCTTTCGATATTTTACCGTTTCTAACTGAGTTGTGTTCCAAATATCCCAGCTCAAGTAGCAAAACACGAATTTTTATGGCCATTGTCCTATATGTGAGTCACGTTATGGCGCGCTTTAAAATCCAAACAGCACTTTGGAGCAGCAGTTTGAAGTAAGGACAGAAAACCTGAAGTTGGCGTCAGAAAACTGTGTCGTCCGATATTATAGCCGCCTTTGGACATGGTTAAAAGCGTTTTTGCATTATGGCGATTATGGTTCTTTGTCAGTCATAAATGGTAAACAACAGGATTTTAGCCGAGTAAGAAAAACCGGAGATTAACAAATACATAGTAACGCACTAGAAAACAGTGGATGAAACATTAAATTAGAAAAAAATAAGCGGCACTTATAAAAAATGTTCGCGTTCTTGATATACTGACGGGACTGCATTAATTTTCCACCTAACCTAAATGCTAGTCTTACATCTGAAGTTAAAAGAACGACTTATTTTGAACATGGGCACAGGTCAATTAATCTACTCATTTTAATTTCTCGGACAAGACATAGGGGTACTGACTCCTTCCCATGAAATCTCCAAAAATGACAGATTTAAAATAACCATGTGCTATGGGATGCGGGGAGATAACACTTGCGAGTAAATGCATTAGGGACTATTTTCCCCTCACTGCTAGAATAATGCCGATACAGGTGAGACGATGAATTTTGATCTCACGTGAACTTGCAGGCGTCGGATTGTATTTGTGGATAACTGTCCCTGTGTCATTAGATCACACAAGCAGATAACTTTTGGTGCCGTACGCGCACAAGTGTAAAATGCAGAAACAAGATTTCGGCACACACCATAAAAAATACTGATTTTACACTGATCAAAGAACTGTGTTATTTAATTTGTGAAGTCGTCAAAGGACAAACTTTAATCTAGCCATTAATCCTCCGCAGCTCGCGTACAACCATCGCATTCATTTCCTCTAACGGTGGCTATTGCAGGCAGTTGGAAAATTCACATAAATATTGTTGGTTTTCTAAGAGAGTTCTGTCTCTGGCATACTTTAGTACCATTAACAGTGATGAGCTACAAAAAGACGAATTCTAAGTACCAACTGCCCTGATATTCTCTCTTTTCTATAAGATTCGAAGAAAGCTTAGCTTACGTAATCTCATTTAGAATCAAAGAGAACAAGTCACAGTTTGCCATGCTAAACCCGGCCAATACCTGAGGTATCTGGAAATTAATCTTGCAAATATTAGTAGATATGTGAACCTATAACTACCTTATTTGTCAGGCTTCCAATGCACATCTGTCCTCTGAATACGCCCCTATTCTAGTGCCTTCATATCTTGGAATAACAATGCTGCTCCTTACAAGGATGGTAAAACTTGGAACTCCTTTATATATTTTTTACGTTAATGTGTCTTAGCCACCCTATTACATTCTCTCTAAAGTAACTTTTGACAAGATTAATTATACGCAATTATAAGCAAGCGTAATTAACTTGGTGACTGGTGAAGTATTACGGGCTTGACACCGCTGAACACTCTGCTCCGAAACCTGTCTTTGACTTATGTGTTTTCTTTGTTCTCATGGATCTTGTTTTCTGTCAAGAAAGGTCTATTACAAAAAACTAAGTTGACTGTGGAAAGATTGGTTTTGAAATCGCCAATAAAGACGATCAGCTATCCACTGGTTCAACCACACTTTACGAACCATAACTTATTAAGTACTTGTCCGAAATATTTTGAAAGTAGGTCTTAAATTTACTACTTTCCAGGTAGTCATTTTATTACTTAAGCTCGAAGCGCAAGCAACGTCAGAACATTTCAATGACTTCTATTATTATGCTTACAGTTGGGAACCTGTCAGGAATTCAATAACAATCACAGGCATATCTTACAATTATTAGATATCTAGCAGTATTTGTACAAATGCATGCACAATAAGGTTCTGCACCGAAGTATCAGAGTATACTGGGGGGAGGGGGGGGGGGTGAAAGTCGACCTTTTCATCGCTAGTGTGTCGTAATGCGAAAATCTCAAGCCCATCAATCCGGCGTATCTGCAGGTCAGGTAACAACGCCCAGGGAGCAGGACTATTACTCTGGGTGCAGATAGCCCAACTCACAACCGACGGTTCACTGGTTAGGTCGTGCGAATTGTGGTTCCCTGACCCTCAGTTAATCCACAAGCGCAGTCAGCTCTCCTTTCCTATTTATGGCACGGACTCTGTGGGACAGGGTTATTAGCCCACTAGTAAGCTCGCGAGCTATCGATGCTTAAAAGTTCAGTTATAATAAGCCAAATTTCCGAGTTATTGATGGGCCTATCAACATCATCGCCGACTAAATTGAGATCATTGACAATTAAGCCATTACTATATCAAGTACGAATATCTGTAATTAATACAGTAGATCTCCGATAAATTAATAATCACCTCCCATAAATACTGCATAAAACGTTCGCCAACGTTTATTTTCTGTTTCTTATTATCTGTCGAGGGTTTCGAGGGAAGCCGAAACGTCAGGCAAGCAAACTCATTTTATGCTCCATTCCCCAAATTTTTCCATTGATACTTAGAATCGCTGAAGCAGTGCGCACAACCTGCGCCAACATCGGAGGTGGTTTGGAGTAATTCAACGATCGCGATCTTGTTAGGGGCGGGTTGGTTTGACATATTGTCTATTTAAAGTTAACTCATGTCTGGTAGGACTTGTAAAGGCCGCCTCACGCGCCGACCTGTAATCTATCACGCAAAGTTATAGACGCTGGGACCATCCGGGATTGTTTGTTTCGTCCCGCGTAAAAGAGACATGTGGAGAAAAGTCCTCTTATATCCATAGAAGCGCTGCCGAGTGCGAATTATTTCAAATCACGGAAACGGTCGAGCACGATTTGACTCACGTATTCCTGCGAATGTTTGCTCTTGCATGAAGGTTAACGCACTGACCAATGCCCTGGGATTCACCTCATCCATCCAATGACACAAATTTAATGGCTTAGCAGAGTTTTGTTTGATCGAATCCGCCCTTCTTTTATTCTCAGTATAGTTGTCCAGAACGTTGCATGTTATCTGTTCTTTCCAATGGCTCGCTTTCTTCAATTTGACTCCTACCTAACGTTGGTCATAATTCTCCCTTTCCTTCAGTTGCATGCACAGAGTGGCACCTTGAGCGTAGACTGTTTATCTGTCATTCTGCAGCGCGGAAATCATAGTTCTTGTGGTAGTTTTTTCGAATAACGTCATGCTAACGATTCGCGGAACAAATAGTAAACTCCCAACATTCTGGAACCTCTTATTTCCCAAACATAATCTCAGAACATCAACTGACATTGAAATAAGATGCATTTTTTTTAGATTGCGCATAAGTGGCCATAGCGTAGTTTGTTTTGCCGAAAACGTATTTCAATTTGTCTAACAAAAAGGTTCCTTATAACGATAACACATATGTGGAATACGCTTTTGATCGCGAACGATCGATTACTGACATTAGTATTCCTTGCGATTAAACTGAGCTGAAGGCTGTGAGGTCGTGCATTTTGCGACAGAAAGCGAAATATAAAGTTGCGAAAATTCCCATTGTAAAATTCAAAAGGCAATTTGGCGAGCATAAGTCTGATTTCGATTAATTCCCGTCAGGTCTGTACATTTATATGGCTATTGAAGTAATGAATTAAAAGATACGGGCAGGTAGAGAATTAAGCTGTAGCTCAGGTTTGCGAAGGGAAGGGGAGGGGAAGAGTGAAACACCACAATTCCAGTGAGCGCCAGGGAAAAGGTTGATCCCGACAAAGGTAATTACATGCAGGTGGCTGGTTTGGTGGCTTTGAACCATGGCAACTGTGGAACCTGTATGAAGTTCTTCTGCGCGCATAGGACCGGTCAGCGTAGCCTGGTGCAGCCGCCTTTGCCGTAGCCAACAAGGGCTGCCCAAGTAGTTTTGGATAGTTTTATGGGACCTTGTAATTCACTCTGAAGGCCTCTCTGGCGTCTACACGGTCGTCTGTGTCTACCATGTGCGCGATGATCGAGCTATTGATGTTCTTTACTTGACCCTTTTTAAACCATGCTGGAAGCTGTCCTTTTATTCTTTTGGATAAACGCCGGCTCGTGCGAACAATATATTCTGCCCCACAGGAGTAGGTGAAGAAGTAAATAAGCATAGAGCTGGATTGAGCTGGTAGTTTGTCCTTGTCCTCTCCGTATAGGATGGGACTGGTGGAGAACAGTACACGCGTGTCAGCTGCTGGAAAGGTCTCTGACACAGCTTGAGTTAGGAATCTTCTTAAAAGTTCACTTAGTGCATCCCCTTGAAATGGGACCCTGATGAAAAGCCTTTTGTTTCCTGTCTTCAGTGTCGGTGGCTTTTGTGGTCTTTCGGCCATGTCCTTAGCAATGAATCGATCAGGATGGCCGTTCTGGCGGAAAAGGCTTTCGATTATTTTAAGCTCCTTGTTGACGCTATCAGCTGAGCAGATTCTTCTCACTCTTTCTGTCAAACAGCGGAATAAATTACGGTTAACGTTTAGCGGTACGAAACTCCCAAAATGGGTGTATTGTCCGGACCAAGTTTTCTTACGATAGACGCTACGTTCAATGCTGCCGTCAGGCCTTCTACTCAATAGCACATCCAGGAAGGGAAGTGAACCAGACTGTTCTTCTTCCAGAGTGAATTTTATTGATGGGTACGCCTGATTTTTGTCATCCGGTAGAATTAAGATGTTACTTTGTTTCTGTGCAATTGCGAAGATATCATCCACGTACGGCCCATAGTATCTTAAACTGTTTATCAGGGGATGTAGCTGGAAAGCTTCTGACTTTCCAAGTAATATATTCGCCAAAAGGGGGCCAAGGAGCGAGCCCATAGGTACGCTCTCCATCTGCTTATATAGATTTTTGTCTAATAGGAACTGCACGTTCAAGGTACACCTTTATAACAATTCCTTGAGGGCATTCACTGGCATTCCTATATCATGTTGATTCTCGGTAATGAAATTGCAAAGGTAGTTGACCGTTTCCGTTATCGGTACGTTCGTGAAAAGGGATGAGACATCCAACGAAAACATGACCATTTCGCTCAGATCGAGATCTTTCACGCCGTTAATGGATTCAAAGGTATCTCTATATCTATGTGGCGCTAGTTGATACCTCAGAGGTTTAGGTTTCTCAGCCAGCCATTCCGCTATTGCATGGTGCGGCAAGCTCCTCATATGGAGGATTAGACGAACCGGTGCGCCATCTTTATGGATCTTCGGCAAACACTATAATCTAGATATCTGCGTACCGACGGGTTGGAGGCGCTCTAGGTCGTGTTCGCTTATGCAACCATCCGCCTGAAGTCTTTTCAAGCAGTCAGTGAGTTGCGCTTCAATCTCATCTGTACGGTCCTTCTCCATCTCCGTCTTTCTGAACTTTTCCTGATCCGACAGAACTGACCGTATTTCTGTAATATAGTTTACCCTGTCTATCAAAACAACTCCAGTTCCTTGATTTGGCCTAGTTATCAGAACGTCTTTGTTCTGCCGGAGTTGCTTTAACTTCTCAATGCGTGACTTCGTCAGCAAGCCCCGATATTTCTGACGACTGTTCAGGTATTGATAAGAGCAATTGATTAACGTAGACCTAAGATGTTGTACGCTCGCTGTCGAAACTGACTGAAGGTCATGTGTTCGATTCAAGAGGTTCTCGAATTGCGTTTCTAACTCCAGCTGGATGGGTTCCTGGCGAGGACAGCAAAACTTAGGACCAAGCGATAAGGCTTCACTCGATGTTTTATCGAGAGATATGGACGAATAATTGTGCACGTACCGACTTGGATCTTCGGGAATCTTAGATTGTGAATTGCCCTCATGAATACTCCGACGAAGTGAAGCCCTCTTGATTTATCCACGCCTGTCCGAAACGGATTGTACATAATTCTCGAATTTCTGTCGCTTATCTTCGCCAAGTTGATTGAGTATGGCTGCCCCTTGACACACTTGACGACGCAGCTCTTCCACCTTTACACGCGTGCTATGTAGTTCCTTTTCGGCGTATCCTTTCAAGGCATCAAAATATAAGGTCACCGATAAATTTCACCCACTTTGACTGGACGCCTTAACAAACGTTAACTCTGTCTTGGACGGCAATAAGGGGCATTTTGTAAGGAGATTTATTAGAAAACTTAGTTTTCTAAATTATTTTAAGGAGGGACGTGCGTATATTGATTTGTGTACGGAGTCATTTCCGTTTGAAGTTTTTAACTAATAGTTTCCTTCAGTGAATTAAAAGTGCAGTAATGGAACTCAGGTAGTCCTAGACCGAAAATGGAGTCGTAAAACCGAGCACCAAATCATGTTAAGGAATACCCGGTAGTTCTTCCTTCGCAAAAAGTGCCCATTCAAAATAATAGATCCCTGTTTTTTTATCAAGTTGGACAATGGATCGTTTCTTCATTGAAACTTAAAGGAGACTTTCGACCGAAGAGCTTCTCAGAGCACAAAGCGTTATCAGTATGACGAGCTTCACACAAGCCTATAAAAACTCGAACTGCTAGAAGCGCATGTGAGGCAGAAGCGACAAGGAGAGGAGATCCGAGCGACCGTAAGTTAAATTATCGGCCTCCACGGTAGCAACAAGCCTTTGGAGGTCCAGGGTAGGCTGACACGAACCCTACGGTGTTTAACGGCGTTTCTGACTGCACTGGCAAATAGCTGATCAGCGGCCATCTGTCTCAGGCTAGAGGATAGTTGTCGCCCCACCCTCTGACAAGATTCTGTGCCTGCGACCGACGTCAAAGGCAAGGGTGTAGGCGGAAGGTTGTAGGCGGCTTTCGCTCTTCGTGCAATTATCGTCCACGTTTATACTGGCGGTAATGACCACACCCCCCCTCTCCGCCTTGGTAGTGCCATCGCTCTGTGTCGTCTGCCCCGGCCTCCGTGACCCCGTTAGTTGAGGGTGCGCCTGTAAGGTCGCGTTCGCCGCGGGGAGGATCAGATGGTGTTCGGTGCAAAGAGCCAGTTTTGGGGTGTGTAAAAGACTCGGGATCCAAAGAAGGAGAACGAAGTTGAAAATGTCATCAAAAGCTACGCCTTGGACTTCGAGTAAAGCATGTTGGTCATGAGTCGCCAGATTCAGCCCAAAAAGCTCTATTAAGCTTTGGGCTAAATTCTGTTCTATTCAGAGGATTCATCGCACAATTTCTATACTTGTCAGTCTACTATTAGCATGTTTTGCAAATTGTGAGTACCTTATTTATACTCTCAACGTGGCCGGACACCTGTTTTGCCAGCTTTTGTGTGATATCACTCGGTCGTCATAAGTGGGTCTCCTAATGCCTTCCAAGTACTCTCATTTTCATACTCCCGTTTTCAAGAGGAAATTTGCAATTACGTCCGGAAGTAGTCTGCATACTCCAAGTGAGCAAGTAAAAACGCGAAGTGTTGAATTCGTCACGGAATAGAACTACAATTACAGAGTTTATCATCAGAAACAAAGCAGTTCCTAATACTGACACTTCAGGGTCTAGCAATATCTGTAACAAATTTTGTCAGGTCGATTTGAATTCGGCGTAAGCGAAACCATTGCCTTCAGTTTTGGCGACGAATTGTAAATATTGCAGTGTCCTATCTCGTTGTAGTATCCATAACTCACGAGTGTAGGACCACTGTTTCCACAGAAGCACCGTTATTTTGCTGAGTCTGACCCGTTTCTTCCATGTAATAAAGCAAGAGGTACTCGACTAGAGGGGGGGGGTGGCGGCATGTCGGTTATCGAACCATTTGGTCTAAAACTCGGTGTCCGCGATGAACCCTGAAGTTATTGCGGCACCTCTTCCGAGAACCTTCGCACTGCCGAAATCGGTGTTGTTTCCACTCATCATATAAAAACATCGGGAAAGTTAAACCATTGCGATTTTGCCTTCTTATATTTCTACAGTCGTTTTAGAGCCCCCGCCTGCGCAGTTTATCCGAAGACAACGGTTAAGTTCTCCCAATAATCTGGAAGTATCAAAGCTGTAGCAAACGGCGGCGTAGTCACTCGCATTCCCAAACGCGTAAGCAGCCATTGCGAGGCCCTTTCACACCAGGGGAGCCCTGCCCAGCTTACTTTCAGTAGCACGCGAACGGCAACTTTTATGGAAATGTGAGGTTTTTTGTGAATTCCTCATTCTCCGCATATTGGGAAGATACCGGAAATACTACTGTTTGTAAACTCGTGCGTGGGCCGTAGCGCGCTGGGTTGCCTTCTCTCTGCACCCACCTCTGTCGTAGACCGAATACTGGGATAAACAAGGTTCAGAGGTGTGAGGTTATCGAGCACAGAATGGAGAATTTGGTTGAGCAAAAGTCTGCGACTAAGGCACGAATCTATCGTCAGTTATTAAAGCGAAGAAATCTGCGGAGTTCCATCTGATGCACTTTTAATAGGACACAATTTTCAGTTTAGCTGCATGACTGATAAATGTCCCAACCACCAATAAATTATCACGCTGCATATCTACTAGTGTTGAGAACACTATAATTAGTGACTTGGGCGTGGCCCTTTAGAAAACGATCCGTCCAGTTGAGAAAAGGCGATGTTTTATTAGGTGTTCATGGAATGCAGGCTCTTTAATTTTTTTACTTAGAGGATTCTGTGCCGCTCTAGGTTATTTAGCACGTTTTCATCAGCCCTCTGATATCCAGCGTTTTAAAGGTCTTAATAAAGTGGTTCTCATTTGAAAACAGGATAATGATATCACTGTCTGCGCATAAAGTCTCAAGTACTTAGCAACGGTGTTCCGTAATGGTTTCTCCGCTGGGTTGTTCGTAATCTAAACAGTAAGGCCATTGGACTGTCGTAGAATGCTCGGTCTCAGAGCTTTCAGCATGATCTAACGAGGAATTCGGAGAGGATATAAATTCTGCAAACCATTAGTAAAAACATCTTGGTGACCCCTCCTGACTTTCCAGTTACTCGCTTTGGCACTCTCAGTTTAAGATAATAAAGAAAGTTGTAAAATATCGCCAAACGTTGGCTGTCCACTGTCAAGGTTCATAGATGGTAGGCCGGCAAATTCAAAACGAGTTGGCGGCGACCAAAAGGTTAATCACATCAAAGTCATCGTGAACTTACGTAGAATGAAACTTAGTGTCATTACTCTGGGTTATGTTGAAAAAGAGTACTGATAATGTCTCCAAAATCAATAAACCAACTTTTTTAATGCAGGCGGTTAGAAACGCTAGTACCTTTTGAGCATCTGTCTCTTTTTCATATGTTATAGTTGGAGAGCTGCAACACTAGCGAGCATTCTTCGTGTCGTTTTTTCGTGTTTCGAAACTTATTACGTGAATGGCCAACAGGCGAGACCTAATTGAGTCGCCAGCAGAACCCATCAAACATATTATCTCTCAGGGCTTTCCCTCCGGCCAATCATTTTATCCGCTGGTCAGGCACCTGTCCACACATAAATATTCCCTCATTTATCTGTTTGGTTTCCAAGAGCGCAAAAAGGCAGACGTTTGGTGTTAGCCTTCAAAAACGATCAAAAGAATACCTGACCGGACAGCCTCCAAGTTGATAATAAAAAGGGCCTTACATCATGGACAACAGTTAATGCGTCAGTAACTGTATGGCGTTTACTTGAGTCTTTTTATTTCCGAAAAACCGAAAATCAGCACCTCTGACCGAAATAACTCATATCTTGTAAGCCATGCTCATTACGAATGTGGTTTACCGATAAGATCCAGTTGACTCGTTAACAGTATTGTCGGACCAAAGTTTCATCTTCACGTCCATAACTGCCGGCGTTTCTCTTTCAAAGATAAGTGTATAAGTGAGGAAGGAGAAGAAGAGGAGGAAGGAGGAGAAGAAGAAGAAGAAGAAGAAGAAGAAAAAGAAAAAGAAGAATAAGAAGAAAAAGAAGAAGAAGAAGAAGAAGAAGAAGAAGAAGAAGAAGAAGAAGAAGAAGAAGAAGAAGAAGAAGAAGAAGAAGAAGAAGAAGAAGAAGAAGAAGAAGGGTGATCGACCGCCAGAACACTGTTTGTTGTGCTGAGCTTTCAAATTCGTCAGAACAGGCGAGAGTTATAGGACGTGTCGCCCAATCATCGATCGATGACACGAGATTGGAGGTGACTGCGCAGGGCTCTGTTCGCCTGCGCCGGGTCGATACTTTGATTGGCTGAGCTCTCATCTGAGGCAGAGGATTCAATCAGTTCTCTTCCTGCTTATTTCCGGTGTGGGCGATTATCTTAGTGGCCGCAACGTTCAACTTTGACCCGTTTTGTGGGTGTGGGCGGCCACTTGTGATAATGCCTCGCCTTGTCGCACAGCCAGCTTACGTTCGTGTATGCGCCATCCGCGTATGCGTCCAGGCCGGCCTGTGTGGTTACAAGGACGGTTTTGGCACGGGATGCGACACACATCTCCAGATTGCCCCTGAGGTTGTAACCGGTCTTTAATTTTCATGACCCTGTCGTACATGGTGGCTTTGGAGCAGCGTGCAATTTCAGCACCTAGTTCCACAGCAATGCGCTCGGTTACATCTGAAACGTCCTTAATGTATGGCAGAGAATTCCATATCATTGGTGGTGTTGGTGTTTCGGTCCCCCGGGAGTGACCGCCTAGGCAGCGACTTATGAATGTCTTCAGATAGCCATTTTGCACAAACTTGTCGCGGGCCTCACGTGATCTTTCCTCCGATTTGCTGCAATTAGTCCGGATCCGTTTGTGGTGCACAAGCAGCTCCGACAAATTCTGCTAGGGTAATTCCAAAAGGCTGTTTCTGGGTCGCAAACCTGTCAAAAAGAAGTCACTAGTGGTGGCCAAGCGGTAAATTCAGTGGTAATGGGGTCTTGGTTGTTTATATGTTTCTACAAAATTGTCAGTCAGTCGTAATTATGACGGTGAAAACCTACAGACAGCATACACACAGACCAATAAATGCATATACAATAGGTGGGCTAACTCATGAAATGTCAACCGAAATCCCGAATTGCGTTTTCGTTTCGAAAAGACTAATTAGGCAGGGTTGTAAAACTAACCTCCGTGCAGCACAATTCTATAGGCGTTCAGTTACCAAAAGATGCTGGCCTTCAAAGAACTCCTTTTCAGCTGCTTGCAAAAAATTATACTCTGAAAAAATAACTACTTACGTAGCATTCAGTTAATCTCATCGATTTTTGATGTCCTTCGAAATTCAATTATATTTTAGGGAAACATGATACAATGAGAAAATGGCCAGGCTGGTGCTCGAAAGTTGTTCCTCGACTGGCACACTCAACCGAGCTATAGATCTACATCCCGCATACCAAGCGCTGCGTGCAAGGCTCGGATCGGTCCGGCAAGACCAGTAAGACACGCGAGCACGCGAGACCGAGAGTCAAAGCCCACGGAAAAGAGCGGAGTTGGGGGCCAGAGGTCATGTAACCAAAGCTGAACACTCATCGATGCGCCCGCGAAGCTGAATGCTCCTCACATGAACAGCGACGACCAATCAGTCCACCGGCTGACGTGGAAGAGGCCAACCGTAACGTTGATTTGACTACAATAACGCCGACCCCAAAGGGAACAAAGATCACGCAGGCCTGTCAGCAGTCAGCCCCGGGGAGTTCTAAGCCAATCAGCGGCGAACAGGCAGGTCAAGGTTCGTGCGTCGAGCACGGTCATAATACGGGGCAAGCGGCAAGACTGAACAACTCAAGACCGGCAGGCGCAACAAGTACGCTTCTCTGATGATGGAAACTAGGAAGTTTCCGAAATGTCAAATACAATATGGTCCATGGATTTGCCCTCTTTTTTTCTTCGTCTTCTTCGGCAGATGATGAACGCGATACAATGTCTGGACCTCGAATCTTTACGCATGTCGATTTATAACTGTGAATATCTCCATCATGCTATATTTTCAAAACGAGCTGATACCCATTTCTAGCAGGGGAGGATACTAATGAGGTGCTGATTATGGAATCGCATGCTCGCAAAAAAGTCACATATGGGGAAAAATATAAGATTGCGGGGGGCGGATTACACATTAACTTACTTGTCTTTGTAGAGGTTCCCTTCGCTAGCCCAACCTCAAAACCAACATTAGCAACCCATGATATATGAATACGCACACTCATCCACACTGCCAACCATGTACCGATGCAGTCTAATAAAGGAGGCGTTTGCACTATCCAGAAAAATTTCGACCTGTGTTTTGTCATTAATGGGTCTTCTTCGGCGTCTAGGTAAAAGTATTCATAAAGCAATAGTATGAGATTGGAAACTAGAATTTCTCACGGCAATTACACCTGCAGACTAGGTTAGGAGCATTTCCAACTAGCGAGGAACATGGCAAGCCCGACACCGGCATACCAGTGGGGAGACGCAGATTTCAGTTAAATTGGGCTTTTTGCTATTGGAGTTAGGGAACTCATATTCGCAAAAAGCAGATTTGAAAAAAGTGCACATATCTGTGCGGACAAGCGCGCGCAGTTTCCAGCCATAAAGTCAGAACCTAGTTTGTTGTTTGCATCTTTCTTCTGCCAGACGAGCACCAGAAAGATTTCAAACTAAGAATTGAAATACATCATTGTGATTACTTTTGAATCAAGATCTTTCGAGCGAATTTAGTGCATGTATACTATATGACTCATATGCAGGGATACTTGCGCGAAATATATCTCACTCGTTCTTCGCACCTCCATCATTTACTTGTGACAGAAAATGCCCTGCTCATTGCAAGTGTGATTGGCGCAATCGATACCCGTCCATGCACCCATATTTCTTTTAGGTCAAGCATCCGTCGCGTGGCAAGTAACAAACATCAAGAGTTCGCGTTTTCGGAACCAGAATGCTGACCAACGGGCCGTGCGATGGACCAGAACCAGTAAGAGTTGTCGTATGTAATTCAGTGATTTCGGAGATTACCGTCTGTCATACACACAATGGATTTAAGTCTGAATGCTAGGTGTTATGCAGAGGCGTCGCGCGCGGATGCTGCGCCGTTATGGTCGGTCCCGTCTCGTCAATGGTGTTGGATGGCCGTCGCAAGGCAATACACCGACTGAGGTACACTGACACAGAATGAAACGCACAAAGCGGTAGAGTACATGACACCATCTAGGCCGTGTAAATCAGGCACCGATACAGTCGTAGCCGTACGTTTACGGTCACCAGCCAGCTCACCAGTAACCTGGTGTATACTGCCTGCCACCTTCCCGGGCATCCAGTTATTATTCATGGTTCCATAGGACTGTGCTCAGCATGACAGTCTCGCTCCAACGCACGTAATTGACCATCGGACTCAACTAGATGGAAGTGCCCGGTGCATGTCTGTCCCCAAACTCACTCGTCCTCCTCACACATCCCCATACATCTTCCTGGCGTCAAACAAAAAGTTCTGTGGAGAGTGAGACGTGCAATCCCGCCGGGTCACCTCACAGTTCTAACAGCGTGGACTTTAACAGTTGTCTGGGGTGACTGAGCAGCCTTAGTTAGGAAGACATTACTTGTACCCCGTGGAAAACGGGCGAGGAAATTTGCCCTAAAAGTACTAGCAGGACACGACGTCAACAACCTGATCGTATCTTGTGGATAAGCAATATGCGCTTGAAGGACAGACGAAAAAAGTCAATCGTCATCGACCCTATTTCCGCCTCTACCCCAGTGCTGTCAAAGTGACCCTGGAAGGTTCGTTTGCCTTGATAATATCAAATTTCCAACCGGCAGGAACGATGAATGTCCTGATGGCTCGTTATAAAGAGGACGTCGTGGCTCTTAGTGAGACGCGCTTTTGTGAACAAGGACTACTGGAAGAAGTAGGCTTGGCGGAGCGACAAGATGCCGCAGTCGCCTTCGCCACGGAGAAATACGTCATGAGACGGCTGCCCTGCCTCCCGCAGAGAATCGACGACCGCTCATAGCCTTGCGGCTGCCACTCTGTAGGAAACATTTGTCACTATAATCAGTGCCTGTTAGCGTACAACGACAAAACTCGAAGACTCGAAAACAAAGTTCTAGGAAGGTCTGCCAACTTCCCTCCCATCTGTCCAAAAGGCGGACTAAGTGATTGTTCCTAGTGACTCCACTGCCTATGTAGGCACAGATTACGCCACCTGGGAGGAATAGTCAGGTTAGCAGGGGATCGGCAGCTGCAGCAGTGATGATAATTTCTTACAGTCCTTCAAAAAACAACATTTATGTGACCAAAATTCTCCTCTGCTATCCAAACCGACAGATATCTGCGTTGATGCGCTTTTGTGCACCATTGACAGCTGCTGAGCAACGTTCTTGTCTCGACGCGTGGGCAGCGCGATTTCCTGGTAACCTAAGTGGTAACCAAAGCAGAATTCTGGATAGGGTAGAACCGACTCATATGGTCCCCGAAATAGGACACGGGAATAGGATTACCCCGCCCAAGGCCCAACAATATTCCTAATTTAAAAATAAGCCGTTGCCCTAATCTTGAACCTATTCCTACCCTAACTGTTAACTCTTCAGTTAACACTACCCCTTAACTCTAAATTTGATCCTAACGTACCTTACAATTATCTTTGAATCTGGAATTAAACCTGATCCTTAACCTAACCCTGACCCTAGGCTTCAACCTAACCCTAATTCCACCTGGATTTGGCCCAAAGCCGCCCGTATTTAAGACGGTTCCAGTCATAAAAGTCAGCCCTACCATGGACCGACTACCAGCTTGACATCTGGAAAATGAGGTCTCAGCACTAAATCCGCAGACGTCTGCAGGCTGAGAAGGCGTCGGGTTGGTTAAATTGCGCAATAGTCTATGCGGCTGGGCGCTGGTTAAATTTGTGTCATACGCATAGTATGGATAGTATAGTATAGTATATACACGTAGATGCATGGATCTTATGGTGGAACAAATGCAAACCGTAAAAGAAAATGAAACTGTTGATACCGAGTGGGGAGAACTGCGCGGTACTTTAGGGCACCACACTGGAAATCCTCAGTCATGCCCATGGACTGCAACAAGGCTGGTTTGACAGTTAAGATGAACTCAAACGCCTAAATTCAGAGAAAAACCGTCTGCAAACGGCGTTTGCTAAC